TTCTTGCCGTGGGTAAGTGCATCGAAGTCTTGTGCCACTGCTTGATCGGGAGTTTCAAAATATAAAAGACTTAGTTGGTCGAGCTCCTGCCGCGAGGTCCGGGACATCGCGGACAGACAGGAACGGGTGCCGGGCTTGGCCCGGGCGGCGTCAGTGCTGGCGTAGAAAGCAGGAGTGGCTATCCACGGCGGGGATAGCCACTCTAACAACTCTCACTGGCCGACCCAATGTCGTGGTTGCCGGAACCGTTTGTCTTTCTTGCCATTTCTGTTTTGGGTCTGCTCACTTGGATTCCTCGTCAGTCAGTGATCGCAGGCAGCCAGCGGAAATGGAAAGAAACACCAGCGGTTCCGGCAGCCACGAAATTGGGTCGGCCAGTCAGAGCCAGTCAGAGCCAGGCGAGTGGCCATGCGGTAGGCAGGCTGGCTGCCTACGATCACTGACTGACGAGGAATCAAAGTGAGCAGACCCAAAACGGAAATGGAAAGAAAGACAAACGGTTCCGGCAACCACGACATTGGGTCGGCCAGTCAGAGTTGTTAGAGTGGCTATCCCCGCCGTGGATAGCCACTCCTGCTTTCTACGTCACTACAGACAGGAACGGGTGCCGGGCTTGGCCCGGGCGGCGTCAGTGCTGGCGTAGAAAGCAGGAGTGGCTATCCACGGCGGGGATAGCCACTCTAACAACTCTGACTGGCCGACCCAATGTCGTGGTTGCCGGAACCGTTTGTCTTTCTTTCCATTTCCGTTTTGGGTCTGCTCACTTGGATTCCTCGCCAGTCAGTGATCGTAGGCAGCCAGCCTGCCTACCGCATGGCCACTCGCCTGGCTCTGACTGGCTCTGACTGGCCGACCCAATTTCGTGGCTGCCGGAACCATTGGTGTTTCTTTCCATTTCCGTTTTGGGTCTGCTCACTTGGATTCCTCGTCAGTCAGTGATCGTAGGCAGCCAGCCTGCCTACCGCATGGCCACTCGCCTGGCTCTGACTGGCCGAAGACAACCCTGAACCTTCAAGTTAAACCCCAAACCCTTGCGCCTGAAACACGGACCACAAGGCGCACAGGCCGCAGAGACGAAGCCAGCGCGTGACCTCTGGCAACGGCTTCGGATTTCGCCGGGGCTCTGTGTCCATGGTCGGCGGCACCCAAAATCCTAAAACCCTGAACCTGCACAACCCTAGGCCCCAATCCCGAAGCCCTAATGTAGGAACCTGATTGAGTCGGGGGGGAGGAGGTTTGGAGCATCATGACATCAGATTCCCTGTCACAACAAGCCTCACCATGACCGCACTTCCGGCCCCTCCACCCCCGTAGGGGCATCACTGCGGCCAGAAATCGTGACTTGGGCCGGGTAATTAACCCTGACACCCCAAGGCGGAGGTTTGCCGCCCGACGACACTCTCACTGGGTGACCCTGCCTTCCTGACTACGGCAGACACACCAGGAGGAAAGGCCCAGAGGAGCCAAACCACCTTGCCGGGTTATCACAGTAGCCGTCACCCTCCAGTGTCGATTTACTAGGCAGGGAGGGAGGGAGGGAGGTTCTGAAGGTTTCGGGAAAAGGGGGCTTGGGGGGAAGCAATGCAACCCTAAATCCTAAAGCCTAAACCCTCTACAGCCTAAATCCTATCGCCTACATTGACCTCTGGAAGGCGCCCCTACACCTGCAACCCTAAATCCTAAACCCACAACCCTACAGCCTAAATCCTATCGCCCTGGCAGGCGCCTACAGTAACCTCGCCGTGGAAGGCGCCCCTACACCTGCAACCCTAAATCCTAAACCCAAAACCCTACAGCCTAAATCCTATCGCCCTGGCAGGCGCCTACAGTAATCTCGCCGTGCCCAAGGCGAGTTCTGAAACCCCTAGAACTCGAGAGTTGGCCGTCCAAGCTCGAGCCATGAGTTGTCATAGTGGATTTCATGACTTCACGGTTCCATAGGGGTCTGAGGTTAGAGACTTTGCACACCACCTGGGTTTAGGGTTTAAGGGTTTAAAGGTCTACAGAGAAAGAAAAAGCCGTGTGGAGTTTAGAGGCAGCGCGGGTACTTGCAGCCACAACGCGTCAACGTTGCACTATGAAGGTATTAAATCAAAACCTTGCACACAGCTTGAGGTTTAACCCGCAGCCAGTGCGGCACCACGCGGGTCCGCAGACAGCTAGTAGTACTAGTAGTACTAGTAGTAAAGTACTAGTAGTACTAGTACTACTAGTAGCACGAGTAGTACTAGTAGTACTAGCAGTACTTGTAGTACTAGAAGTACTAGTAGTACTATGTAGCTTGGAAATGACCTTTGCGGCCGGCGCGGGTACCCGCAGCCACGCGGGTACCCGCAGACGGCTGGTAGGTAGTACTAGTAGTACTAGTAGTACTACTAGTACTAGTAGTACTGGTAGTACTAGTAGTACTGCATGGTAGTAGTAGTAGTAGTAGCAGTAGTAGTAGTAGTAGTAGTAGTAGTAGTAGTAGTAGTAGTAGTAGTAGTAGTAGTAGTAGTAGTACTGCTACTACTACTAGTATGCTAGTACTACTAGTAGCACGAGTAGTACTAGTACTACTAGTACTACTAATAATACTAGTAGTACTAGAAGTACTAGTAGTACTAGTAGCTTGGAAGTGAGTTACCTTTGCAGCCACGCGGGTACCCGCAGCGGGCGCGGGTACCCGCAGCGGGCGCGGGTACCCGCAGCCGGCGCGGGTACCCGCAGACGGCTGGTAGGTAGTACTAGTAGTACTAGTAGTACTACTTGTACTAGTAGTACTGGTAGTACTAGTAGTACTGCATGGTAGTAGTAGTAGTAGTAGTAGTAGTAGTAGTAGTAGTAGTACTACTACTACTACTACTACTAGTATGCTAGTACTACTAGTAGCACGAGTAGTACTAGTACTACTAGTAGTACTAATAATACTAGTAGTACTAGAGGTACTAGTAGTACTAGTAGCTTGGAAGTGAGTTACCTTTGCAGCCACGCGGGTACCCGCAGCCACGCGGGTACCCGCAGACGGTTGGTAGGTAGTGCTAGTACTAGTAGTACTAGTAGTACTAGTAGTAGTAGTAGTAGTAGTAGTAGTAGTAGTAGTAGTAGTAGTAGTAGTAGTAGTAATACTAGTATGCTTGTACTACTAGTAGCACGAATAGTACTAGTATTACTAGTAGTACTAATAATACTAGTTGTATTAAAATACTAGTAGTACTAGTAGCTTGGAAGTGAGTGACCTTTGCAGCCGGCGCGGGTACCCGCAGCCAAGCGGGTGCCCGCAGACGGCGCGGGTACCCGCAGACGGCTAGTAGTATTAGTAGTACTGGTAATAGTACTGGTAATAGTACTAGTAGTACTAGTAGCACTAGCAGTACTAATTAGTAGTACTAGTAGTACTAGTAGTACTAGTAGTACTAGTAGTACTAGTAGTACTAGTAGTACTAGTAGTACTGGTAGTACTGGTAGTAGTACTGGTAGTACTAGTAGTATTAGTACTAGTAGTACTAGTAGTATTAGTAGTACTACTAGTACTAGTAGTACTAGTAGTACTAGAAGTACTAGTAGTACTAGTAGCTTGGAAGTGACCTTTGATTTTTTTCCATAGAAAACCTTGTAATAAACAGAAATCCCAACCCGGCTCATGAGAACTTTATATTTCAACTTCAGGCTCCAATGTTTCGTGATCCTTGAGCCCCGAGCCCCAGGAAACCTACTATCAGGCTCCGTCGAGTTCCTGAAGTCTTCGTGGTCTTCGGAGCATCCCCCCCCCCCCCCCGCAAACCCCGGAATCCCAAACCCTAAACCCCAAACCCCTCACCCTAAACCCTACACCCTACCACCCCAAACCCCTACACGCTACACCCTAAAACCCAAACCCCTAAACCCTTTCTTAGTTTACAAGTGACGTTTGCAGTTTAGAGTTGTGGGGTTTGCGCTTTGGGTTGTTTTAAGGTTTCGTGTCCATGCATGTAGGCCTCGGGGTTCAGAGTTTTTTGGGGTTTTCCAGTCATATGCACCCCGAAAACCAACGACAATGCGAAAGCCACCCCTCCATCCCCCCTGCTTGGAGGATCATGGGACTTAGTAAGTATGGTTATAAATACCTTCATTGGGGTTACAAGTAGATATAAGTGCAGATACCCCAATTGTAACTTTAGTTACTAAGTCCCATGATCTCCATTATAGAACCTCTATAGATCCCTTTAAGGAACCCTATCATAGAACCCTATAGTACCCTATTAACAGGAACCCTAAACCTTAGTTACTAAGTCCCATGATCCCTAAAGTACCCTTCCGAGCACAAAGTTGGAGCAGGAGATTGGGCATCCATTTCGCCAGAGATCCTTGCCGAGGGGTATACCCAAAGGCCCCAAAGTAGTTCCTTTTTGGGGTTCACATTTAAAATTCGATAAGGTAATCCAAAATTGAACTACTTGGGGCCTATGGGTAGGATCTACGGGGGGTTTTGGTGCGTTAGGGCTTCGGGGTTTGAGGCTCTGAGATTTTAAGGTTTGGCAAGGGGTTTCGAGAAGATTGGCTTCTGGTCGTTCATCATTAGTGGCTGGGTACTGCGCACCAAGGTGGTAAAGCCTGTGGAGCAACTGCAGGGGGTTTTGGCTTACATTGATTACCAATACTATTCCATAGAGGCTTTCATGTTCATTATTATGTTCAATACGGTTGATGATGTAAATCCTGCATTACATTAAGGACCCTAGACTATGGGAATTATGGTATATTCCTTATAATGGGTAATGCAGGATTTATATCATCAACCGCATCATACACTTAAAACCCTTTTCTAAGTACCAAGGCCCCTGTTTTATGCCCCAACTCCAAAGCCCAAACATTGCCTTGACGGGACCTGGCCCTTCCTGTGCCTTAGAAAGCCTTGGGGGATCATGCCAAGTCCCTAAAGCCTTATAAAACCTACCTAGAGGCTCATACACCCTTTTTTGAAGATACGTAGTTTTATGGTTAGGATCTGTTATCTTAAGACGTAGGCGCCCTAAAACAGGGGTAGGCTATGAGCCTCTAGGTAGACACCACCTGTAGTCTCGATAGTAGTTTCTTTTTTGGTTTATCCAGTTTTAAAAGTAGGATCCTAGAAGGTAACACCGAAAGGGAACTACAATGGAGACTACAGGTACACCACGGTTCAGCGTACAGGGAATCAGGGTTTGCGGTTGAGGGTTATAGTTCTTGGCACACCCAGACCCCGCCCTCAATCCTAGTTATGTCTTGCTTCACCCGTGTTTCTAAATGTCAAAACCCTGGACCCGAAACCCAAGCCCCTCTCTTGCAGTTGGAAAAGGGCATTTAACAACAAAACAAGCCCCTACAAGGAACTTTGGATAACTTCGGCACTCCCCGTTTTTTTTCCAGGGCTTTTCGTGCGTGCTAAGACAAACCCTAGAGCTCCGATTACCTAATTTTTGGGCTACTAGCCTAGCCATAGGGGAGTTTCCGAAAATTAGGGGACCCGTATTTCGGGTTCCTTATAGTCGTAAGGATCCTACTATTTAGGGTACTACATTGGGGCCCCCTATTTTCGGCAACTCCCATATATCATGTGCTCCAGCCACTTATTATTTAGACAACTAGAGTCCTAGGGAAAGTCAAACATCACACTTGCAGCAGTGAAGGTCAAGTACAGAATTCATGTCGCTTGCTTTCCAGCGCCGTGCGTTTCCCAAAGGCTCCATGCACACATATAGTAGGTACTTAGGCCTGAAAGTACCTATACAGGGACCCCTTCAAGGCCTAGGTCCCTACTATATGGGCACATGGAGTCTTAGGGTTTAGGAGCAGGGCATTCCGAAGGCCAAGGAAGACTTCTTCGAGGGTTGGCTATTTGGTAATGGACACAAGATCCATCGGCCGTACATGTCTTTGTCAAATTGCAGTCCCTTCGAGTTTTTGCAGGTGCTGGCTACGTCCAAGGGTTCCAGCACTACAACGTCATATGTATATATATATATACACACACAGTCCCTTCGAGTTTTTGCAGTTCAGATGGAAGTTTCGCAAGTCGTTTGAACTTGTGTTGCTTCAGCTTCCTGTGAAGGAGGAGGTTCCCAGTTAAAAAAATCGGGGACCGTGCAAAAACGTCCCAGGTTACTATACTGAACTTAGAACCCTAGCAAAAGTTGTAATTTTAGTTGTTTCTTAGGGATTATAATAACCAAAAATTAATAAATATTTCTAAGTATCCCTAAGGTTATGTCTGGGATTTCAAATCTCGTTACACAGAGCTGGGTTTCGGTTCGAAGACAGGTTCTTTTGAAGATATCATTCAAGAGGCGGAACAGGATGACTTCGCCCATGAGCCTTAATTAGGGTTCATGTGCATACCAACATGTCGCACGCATATGGTCGGAATCCTTCACACGGGCGCAAGCTCGCAACACCCAAACAGTCAAGGAACCCTTCTGCTTGCCACTGCTGCCAGAAGATGGGGCCGATTCGCGGAGCAGTGTGATGCGTCTGCATTTACGGACCCAACGGGTCTCTAGGCACCGTTGTGGTGGGATACTTTCCCCAGCCACAATAGTATATCCTACCATAGAAACCCTACATGCTCCTGTGTAGGTACGTAGGACCCTTAAGGGGCAAAGATGCAGCGAAGCCCTGAACCCTAAGCCCTAAACCCAAAACCCCAAACCCAAAACCCTAAACGCTAAACCCCTGAACCTTAAACCCTAAATCCCTAAACCCTAAGCCCCTAAACCCTAAACCCTAAACCTTGTTGAGCAGTTCGGGGATCAGAGGCGGCCCGGAACGTGCTTTGCTTTCCCTAAGGGTCCATGCACCCAAATAGGATCCTATAAGGGTTACTACAAGGGCTCCGAAAGAGATCTATAAGGGTTTAGGGTTTAAGGGTCCCTGTACCCAAAATAGTGTATACTTTGTGGCCCCAAAGTACCTATAAAGGGGTCAATTTAAGGCCAAAGTATACACTATTTGGGTGCATGGACCCTTTCGGGTTTGTTACCCCAATTAGGTTCGAATCTCTAACATCACGTATGAAACCGGTAGAGTCAAATCATGAAGCTCTACTTAGGACTTAGGTTTTCAGCTTTCCGAGGTTGGGATTTGCAAACGTTGGCGTGTGTGCGTGTGTCGATATCCGTAAGACGCGGACAGCTGCAAGTGATGCTAAAGTTTGGACTATGTATAGCTGCCCCACTAACTTCGATTCTAGCGTTTGCGTGCTGGAGGGGGCCTTGAACCCCCAAACCCCGTCGCAAATACTGCATCATATTGCATCCTTCACTTCACAGCAGGTTTTTCGGGCTCTGCTTTTGGCTGGGGCACAAAAGACATACTGGGTGAGTATAGATGCCTGAAAATCAAGGACTCCGTTTCTTGGGTTCCTTGCTATATGTGTGGTTGTCAAAATGAGGGTCCCTTTTTGGGTCCTTATTTTATTACGGCACCTTATATTCAGGGTACCCAAAAAGGGACTACAAATTTGACACCCACCCCTTTGTATACCCTGTTGTTTCCCAAAACCCTTTTCAAGTGAGCAAGGCCCCTATGTGTTAGGCGCTTTTCGAGGCGCTCGCTGAGCCCATTCTTGTTTTGTACATAACCCAAAGGCTCCATGTACCCTTATGGTAGATACTTAAGCCTTAAAGGGGTCCCTATATGGGTACTTTAAGGCCTAAGTATATACTATAAGGGTACATGGAGCCTTTGGGATGAGGGGCGCCTTGCTCTCAGGGGTTGCTATTCAGGGCGCTCTTGTCACACCTTAACTTTGGGGCTGAATAGGTAACCTTTAACCTTTTGGGGCGTGTATAAGTTAGGGTTTAGGGCCATAAGGTATATAAGTTCGGGTTTGGAGCCATAAAAGTTCGGGTTTGGGGCCATAAGCAAAGAATTCAGCCTTTTTTGGGCTATGATACTTAGGGAAACAAGCGAGAAAGCCTTGAATGACCTGCGAGTCTGCGAGGCACTGCCACTCCTGCTCGGCTTGGGTTTGCCCAGAGAAGTCCTGTCGGGAGAAGGCGACGCCTGGCCGGCCCTGAACCTTCTGTGGGTTTGGGGGTTTAGGGTTTTTAGGGTTTAGGGTTCGGAGTTTAAGGTTTAGGCTGTAAGGTTTAGGGGTTTGGGGTTTAGGGTTTAGGGGCCGAGAGGCGTCTTTGGTGTTCATCAGATCTTTCATCCATCTGATGATAATTGAGAGTCCAAGGGGTCATTACAATCATTATGTGTACTCTGATTCCGGCGGCGCACAAGGCTTTGGCTGTGGGAGGCTGAAAGAGACATGGCGGATTGTTCCAGAACAGTTTTTCGATGGTCTCAGCGTCACTGACTATTCACTTGACCCAAATTCAGCGAAATGTTACTTGCATCCTGGTAAGGATTCCTAACAGCAATCCCGTAAGGTGCTTGATAGTTGAGTCTCCAGCAAAGTCCTCGATGATTAAAGCTCGAATCCAACTCGCACCAAGGAAAGTGCTTGATGACCTGCCTCTTTGGTTTTGCTGCCATTGCATGGGCATCCCGCTCGTTTGCAGATGTCCACAGAGCTTCTCGGCATGAGAAAGCCGGTTCGCTGTTTCGACGAGTTCAGGGTTTTAGGTGCTCACCTATAGCCCACAAACCTTTCCTCTTTTGGAGGCTCCTTTGCATGACCTTCATCATCTCTCTCGCTCTCTCTCTCTCTCTCTCTCTTTCTCTCTCTCTCTCTCTCTCTCTCTCTCTCTCTCTCTCTCTCTCTCTCTCTCTCTCTCTCTCTCTCTCTCTCTCTTTCTCTCTCTCTGTCTCTCTCTGTCTCTCTCTGTCTCTCTCTGTCTCTCTCTCTCTCTCTCTCTCTCTCTCTCTCTCTCTCTCTCTCTACGTACCTACACATACATAAATATACATGCATAGCTACATGCGTGCATACACACATACATACGTACGTACATACATACTTACGTACGCACCCGCACATACATGCATGTGTAAGTACGTATGCATGTGCATACATACATACTTACATACATACTGACCTACTTACTTACTTACCTACTTACACACTCACACACACGTAACTACACACATAGATGCATAGGTGCAGACAGACCGACCGACAGACCGAACGAACGACCGAACGACCGAACGACCGACCGACCAACCGACCGACCGACCGAGACAGGCAGACATGCATACATGCATGTAAGGTGCAAACATTCGTTTTCACGCATACATATATGGCTGTATGTATGTACGTACTTGCGTATGTACATGTAAGTGTTCATGTATTTTTGTAGTATGCATGTATGCATGCATGCATGCATGCATGCATGCATGCATGGGCATGCACAAGCTCTCTGTGTGTATGCACAACTTTCAAGGCTAAACCCGTAACCTTGAGTCCTGGTTCGTAAAATCAGAAACCCCAGACTTCGAACATGCGTCATATTTAATGTTCTGGTCGTGGCTATACAATGTCGGCATGGGGTGAAGGCTGCTGAGGCAAGGAATTTCGAGACTGAGATGTTCCATCGCAGTCTAGGAATCCGGGTACAGAGTTGGAGGTCTAGGTTGTAGGGTTCCGAAATGTTCAGAACCTGTCTCGCGAGATTCGGAACCCCTGAGTAATATGAAGGCCTCTGTGCTATTGCGACATGGTTTTCTTTGTCCGTTGCCACGCAGGCGAGAAGGAAGTGAGTCAATTGCGTCGTGGCCGCACTAAGACTATTATGAAATCGTAGAGTCTAAGACACAAGCCCCCCTAAACCCTAAACCCTAAACCCTAAAGCCCATCTGAACCTCAAAAAGCCTAGGGTCCAGGCCATCAGCCCCAGGAAAATTACTTGAGGAATTATAGTACTATCTCTTGGGGTTCCTAAGCACAAGTCCAGTATGATTCATGTGCCCCAAGTCCCTAAACCCTAAACCCTAAACCGTTAGGTCGCTCTGGCGCCACGTCGTAAACCTCGAGGCCTTGACAACGCTAGCATCAGGAGGCCCTAGCCGCTCCCTAAGGGTCCAAAGTACTGTTATGGGGAATACTTCCCCAAATCATAGTAGTAATTCCTAAACCCTAAACCCTACATTCTACTAATCCCTAATATAGAAACCCTACATTCGACTAATTCCTAATCTAGAAACCCTACAATCTACTATTTCGATACTTTGGACCCTTTGGGACTGTGAACCCTCAAACCCCAACTCGGCGGCCTCTACGGGCTTACGACAGACCCGAAGGGTCCAAGTATCATTCTGGTATATACATATGGGGTATTTGCGGGCCTAAGTATATACCATGATGATACTTGGACTCTTTGGGAGATTTAGGATTGAAAGCGGAGTTTTTCGGGCGTGGGGTTGATTGTTGTTGATTGCCTTCCGATTGGAACTGAAAGGCTTGCGAAATTCAATGGGAATGTAACGGAGAGGATCTTTGGGTTTCAGTTTGAAGGGTCCATATTGGTTCGACGCTCCTTCAGTGGTATCTGACCCGGTGAATCACTGTGACATTTGGTTTTGCGGATGCTTCAGGCTTTTGACGTAGAGCTCATGCTAATTACCCTCGGAATCTCTGCAGAGCTTTAGGGTCATATCCAAACCCTGGAGCACAACTAAAGCTTACATTGGGGACCCCGACAACAGTCCTAACTTGGAGAACTGGCTATCCGTATGTAAGGTGCTGTAGTTTTCAAGACTAGCAAAGACTAGCAACCGACTGGTCTGCCTGTTGTTGATTGGGCAGAGGGTTGTGTGGAGGTTTTATTAACGCGGGCATTCGTACTTGGCATCCCCTATACCTTATAATGACACACAGTGATCTCCATGACAGCTGAAAACCGGAACCCTAGACCTAGGTCTTAAACCCCCAACACCAACAGCTCTTTCTACCCTTGGGATACATGCTACATGGAACCAGGGGTAGTTATAAGTATAGGGTTATAAGTCCCGTAACATGGGTTACAAGTAGAGTTACCCTACTTATAAGCCTACTTACCCAAAGGCTCCATGTACCCATATAGTAAGGGCTAAGTACCTACTATATGGGCACATGGAGTCTTAGGGTTTTAACTACCCTGAACCTCCAAGTAAGTTAACAGAGCGCGCAACAAAAAGCCGAACACGCCGATGCCTGACGAAGATTTTTAGCGGACCACGGGCTCGTGATCCCCAATCTTTAAAGAACCTAATACAAGAGCCCTGAGAATTACCAATACTACTTTGGGGGTTCCTTTAAAGGGATCCTTAAAGGGGTCTATAAGGGATGTATAGTAGGGTTCTCTCGTATAGGGGCCTTAACAATTACCAATCCTATGTGAGGCGGGTTCCTAGATACAGTTATAGTATAATGAGCCCCAAGACCCTCTTCTAAGTCTTAAGGCCCCTACGTAGCCAAACTCAAACTCCTAAGCCTGAACAGCTAGTTATGCTAATTCCTTAGCTGCACCAACCAAACCAGCAAACCCAGAGCCTAAACCCTAAGACCCTGAACCCTAAAGCCTGAACCCTAAACCCCAACCCGCCTGAATCCCCCCCCAAAAAAAAGCATAGTTTTGGGGGCTCCGTATTAACTAATTATAGTCAAAGTGCCAAAAATTCCAAACCCCGAAAAACAATAAACATCCGTAAAGCCTCTAAACACCATAAACCATATACGCCGCAAGCCCTATAACCCCCCAAACCTGCAACCCCCATGTCCTATGTACTGTTCGGGGGGATACTTCCCTAACTCATAATCGTAACTCGTAATATGGAAACCCTACATTAATTTGGACCCTTTGGCAAAGCCATCTCAGGCTTTTAAAGACGGAGCTGCGGAGAAATCTGCCTGCGGAGCTGCGAAGCTCCCGAGAGCTGCCAAAGACTGCAGCCGGGGCTTCTTTAACATGGCTTTAGTCGAGGGTTTTCGGGTATAGGAGTTTGGGTTTAGGGTTTGGGGTTTAGGAGTTTAGGGTTGAAGGACTAAGCATAAGTGTTTAGGGTTTTGGGTTTAGTATGGGGGTGTAGGTTTTTAGGTGTTTAAGGTTCAGGATTTTAAATATAAGGGTTCGGGGTTTAGATGTTAAGGTTCAGAATGTAATCTAATACAGTTAGGGGCCTGAAAAGACAGTAATGTGGTGGCCCATGTAATCCGGTATTCGAGCCGGTGCCAAAGAAAAACGGCGGCCTAACTAATGCGTTTGTTTTTTGGCTGGGGGTACTTTTTTGGGGGGGTGACTGAGTGACTGTCCTGTCCTGTCTGCTGCTGGTCAATCTTGAGGCCAAACTTGCGACCCCGCAATTCCCTGCTAACTTATTCAATTCCAGCCAGAACCTGACCCCGGTCCGAAGGGTCACTGACACCTGACTATTCAAGCCAAAGCTTTTGGTCGGTGGGGGAGGTCACCCATTAATTGGGCCGTAACACTACAACTATCGCTTACAGGGTTCCCTCTCTTCGAGTTATAGCATACCCTAAGGGTCCATGTGTCCATATAGAGATACATGGGCGCCAAAGTACCTTTCTAGGAACTACATTAAGGCCAATGTATATACTATATGACTACATGGACCCTTAGGGATAACACACCGCTCCAAACCGTTGCCGATTCACCCATAGTAGGTTGGGGTTTGAGAGGTGTAGGAGAGATCTGTAGCTTCCGATGTTCATTGCGCGTATGGTCCGAACACGGTCTAGTGTTTGTGCCCAGACCTCCTCAAAAAAAACGCAAAGCCTAAACCCTACACTGACCCTTAAATCCTAGATCCCCTAAACCCCCTAAACCCTAAACCCCCTAAACCCCTAAACCCTAAATCCTAAACCCCCCAAACCCCTAAACCTTAAACCCCTAAACCCTAAATCCTACGAAGCCTAAACCCAAACCCATGGTAGCTCAACGTAGGATTTCGGAGTCAGGACTTAAGGCTTTCCTGGACCCTTTTAAACCTCCCTTCTTAGCCCTATTATGATTCCCTTACCTAAGTTCTAGAAGGTAGTTTATCTAGAGGCTCATACCCTACCCCTTTTGTAGGGCGCCTGCTTTTTAAGATAACAGATCCTAACCATAAAACTCGGTATCCTAAACAAGAGGTAGGGTATGACCCTCTAGGTATCTGGAGTTCAGAAATTACTTCAAACGACCAGACGGACTTGCTGGTGTCTAGAACTCCTTCTGGACTGTCCCCAAAGGCTCCATGTACCCATATAGTAGGTACTTTGGCCTTAAAGTAGCCATATAGGGACCTCTTTGAGGCCTAAGTACCTACTATATGTGCGCATGGAGCCTGAGGGGTCGCTGCTCCCGACATTTCGCCCCCATCCCTCGAATTCACCATCAAACGAGGCCTCATATCTCGCAAGTAGTAGCTATTATTGCAGCGATTATGCAACAGAAATGAGCGAATCCGAAGTCCCTATACTATACCCTAAACGCCTAAGCCCTACGCACTAACTAAGCCCTCAAAAACTCTAAACCTTCAACCCCTCAGGCCTTAAGTCCTGAACCCTACACCCTATACACCCTGAATCATACCTATAGTCTCCATTGTACTTCCTTTTTGTTAACCAGGTCTATGGCTAGGATCCTATACTATAAATTTGGTTCACCCAAACGGAACTACTGTTGATGATATAAATCGTGCATGACTGTGGGTCAGCCCATCATGTATCGTCAAAGCAGTTGCATCCCCGCGCCCCTAAATTTCAATGTTGATGTCAGAGGGGAGGTCATGCAGGATTTATATCATTCGCACGGTCCTATCAGAATGTTGATGTCAGAGGGGAGGTCATGCAGGATTTATATCATTCGCACGGTCCTATCAGAGCACGTCCGTCTGCGACAATGTTAAAATTCAGGGGTTCAAGGGGAGCGGCCTGTGTCTTACAAACTCATGCAGGATTTATATCATCCACCGTATCATGGAGACTGTAATCAGGTGTTGCAGAACTCCATAGAGAACCCTGATAGATCCCTTAGCGGGCCTCAACTGATCTTCCAAAACCCTTCAACCGTCGCCCAGGCAGACCTCAATCGCAAGAGCAGCCTGGCAATTTTGAGCCAACCCCGACCTGCAGCCATTAGCTTTTTGGCTTTAGGGTCAAAGGTTTAGGGTTTTATTTGGTGCTATATATAGTGTACAATGGATATTGAGGAAGAATAGACGTTTCACTTTTGCAGCCAGTGTCCTAACCTTGATTGTAATCAGACCCTTCTGTTCTTATTGCTACCTCATCATTCTTGTAATGTACGGCCATTCTAAACCCTAAACCCTAGTCTTATTCTTTGGGTTCTTGTGTCCTTAACGGATAAGCATGTCGCGGGCTGCTGGAAACAGCATCTTCGGTCGTTCACCAAGAACCTTGCTTGGAGGATCATGGGTAGTAAGTATGGTCATAAGTACCTCAATTTGGGGTTATAGGTACTTATTAGTATAGTTACACTAACAGTAACCTTAGTTCCTAAGTCCCATGAGCCTTTAAGTAGACCCCGAACCTCTAATCCTTAAACCCTAAAACCTTAAACCCGAACCCTAAACCCTAAACCCTAAACAAACCCAAAACCCTAAACCCAAAACCCTAGACCCTAAACCCAAAACCCTAAACCCAAAACCCTAAACCCAAGACCCTAAACCCTAAACCCTAAACCCAAGACCCTAAACCCTAAACCCAAAACCCGAAACCCTAAACCGGTGAGGTAGACGCTGCCAAACTTGGTGGCAAGGCACGAACATCGAGCCTCTCCCTTGCGCCTCGGCCCGGTGGTTCTTTAGGGTTTAGGGTTAGGGTTTAGGGTTTAGGGTTTGGGGGTTGGGGTTTAGGGTTTAGGGTTTAGGGTTTAGGGTTTAGGGTTTGGGGTTTAGGGTTTTGGGTTTAGGGTTTTGGGTTTAGGGTTTAGGGTTTTGGGTTTAGGGTTTAGGGTCTTGGGTTTTGGGTTTTGGGTTTTGGGTCTTGGGTTTAGGGTTTAGGGTCTTGGGTTTAGGGTTTAGGGTTTAGGGTTTGGGGTTTAGGGTTTAGGGTTAGGGGTTTGGGGTTTAGGGTTTAGGGTTTGGGGTTTGGGGTTTAGGGTTTGGGGTTTAGGGTTTAGCTGCACGGTTTAGGGTTGAAGGTGTTTAGCCCTAAGGCGCCATGTGCCCATATGGGGGTTCCTTTAAGGGTTCCTTCAAGGGGTCCTTTAAGGGGTTCTATAAGGGTTTTATAGGGTTGAGGGTCTAAGGCTCCATGTACCCATAGAGTATATACTTAGGCCTTAAAGTACCTACATAGGGACCTCCTTTAAGGCTGAAGTTTCTACTACAATGGTCCATGCAACCTTTGGGCTAGTAGGTTAGACTTAGTAGCTGAGTGGATACACTTTACACTTTGAGGGATAATATTTCCGGCTATAAAACTGAAAGTATAAACTTTTTGTGGCTTATGAACTCAGCAACCAAGTAGAGATTAGGGCTCAAGGGGTTTATAGGGTTTAAGGTGTTCCATAACGGTGTTTAGGGTTTGATTTCAAGGGGTTTAGGGTTTTTGAGTTGTGTGCCCCCCCAAGATACCCCCGCGAGAAGCCTTGCCCACTGAGTTCGGATATCAGTTAGGTACGGCCCCCACTCAGTAATAGTTGAATGATGTTCATAATATAGATATAGTAGGACCTTAATAGTAGCCCTATTATCGACTCTGACTGTATGTGGGCCGAACCTAAGATATCAGTTACATGTAAGGTAGCCGTAGAGGAACTTCTCTGTGCTTAGGTAGGGTAATTCTTCCCTTGCTTTTATTCACAAGCCCTGTACACCACTTCAAATGGGCTCCATGGACAACGTACAAAAAAACACACGCACCTTCTAGCACAAGCCTGAATGTTGACTATACTCTAAACCCTAAACCCTAAGCCCATAGTTGTATTGATTGGCACAGGCGCAGATCCACCCGCCCATCGCCGCTTCATCGATGATGCTGGCATGCTGCGGAAGATGCAGCCGCTGGAGCACCTGGCCTGACAGGTTTCCTTACTTGGAGGTTCAGGGGTAGTTATAAGTAGGGTGAAAAGTCCCCCAATATGGGTTATAAGTAGAGTTACCCTACTTATAACCCTACTTATAACTACCCCTGAACATTCAAGTAGTAGCTGAGTAGGTCCAGAACTAAAGAGGGTTAACCCTTTTTGAGCTGAGTAACTCAGCCCCTCAGTTTCAGCTTAGGTATGTAGGGTCTAGATAAGTGCCATGTAGTCAGCTAATATTGGCTGTTGCAGCAGGATGGGGGGGTGGGTACATCAGGGTCTAAGCTTGGGTAGTTGCTCAGACTTGGGTCGCATAAGGTAGATGATTTCAGGTACTTGGGTGGGTGTCGCTTTTGGCCACGATCGATCGTTTAGGGTGAAGAGGTTTTGGCCTCGAGCTTACCCTAAGGTTTCAGTTGCCCAACAAATCCTTAGCCGACAGCCCTCCTCCCAACAAAAGGAAGGCACTGAGTTCCCTTCCTCCGAACCTCGGGGTTCGGATTACAGCGGTACATCGAAAGTAGGGCAGGTTGCTGCGGAATCATACAGCTGTAAACCGCGAGCCTTTGAACCTACGACCCCTGGTCGTTAGATCGAAGCCGAATAATCTTCAGACATGAAAGAAGACCTAGAACCAGTAGCCTTATAACCCGGAAACCCTAAATGTCGGAGTCTTCTTATAAATTCACAGTTGAGGGCAAAATGGCAGTACTGTTTGGATGGAAAGGAACCGCATGTCAACTTTTAAAAGACCTATATAACTCACTATAAGATATTTATCTTTGAGGTCCCAGAACACCAGCTAGGACCTAGAATAGGCCCTTGTTCCCTTTTTTAGGGTTCAGTTTTTATTCCTAGGATACTCTTGGGTCTAGCCAGCCGTGTCGCCAGTTCCCGTCAGTCCTGCCCCCTTCCATCTGGAACAAGCCCTACGCCGGAAGACGGGAAAGATCCACAGAAGGGACAGAACCAAAACATGCCCTGCATGAATGATGTAATCCAGATCTTCCAGTACCCCTTAATTAGTGAATATACCTTAAATCTTAGTAGGACTCCTAAGTATTAACTATTCCGTAAGTTACGGCATGGGGGATATTGGAAGTTATGGGTAGGTACACAGTGGGTGTATGCATATATATATATATATATATATAGTTTTGTAGGTAAGAGTTTTGGGGAGTTATCCAGCGCTTAGACTCACTGGGGTTGGGTTTAAACTAAGAGTTTGCGGTAACTGGTTGGGCAATAGGTCCCCACGATCTGTGCAGGTCGAACCATATGCTATAGTAACTTACTAGAAGGATAGAAAACATATTATACAAGTAACTGAAATTGGGCATCCAAGGTTCCCCGAAACCTGAAACCCCCAAGCCCGAAACCTAGCATCATCTAAGGTACAATGCTCTTGCAGAGAGCCTCAAATCCCTGCGTCAAGACATCCCGGCTGCTTGGTTTAGGGTTTAGGGTTTAGGGTGTTTACGGTTCAGGGCTTCAAGTTTTGTGTTCAGGGTAGGGTTTCCGGTTGGCTGGCGGGCTTAGAAGCCATGCTTGGAACCGTGTGGAAGGTTTGAAGGGTTGTTTCGAGCCTGACCACCCCGACTTGAGAGTGGCGTGAATAGGACAATGGTCGTCTCCGACATCTGGGACATCTGCCCAGAAGGCTCTACATCAGCCTAGGCAAATCTCCTTCAGGTTCCGTGTGAATATGAGTTTCGGGTAATACGGTTGATGATACAAATCCTGCATTACCCGTAATTATTAAGGTTTATATATACCATAATCCCCATAGTCGAGGGTGACAAGGTAATGCAGGATTGATCTCATCAACTGTATCTCGGGGCTCCTTGGTGGGTCTACTTCCAGCACCGAGGTGGAGACGGAGCAGCAGCAGAAGGCCTCCTTCATTTGGGAGCCAAAGAAGCACCCAAAACACAAACTTTCGGGTGGTGTATCCTTATCTTATTGGCTTAATTAAAGTAAGCATTCTGGGATATCCCAACCTTACGGTTTTTGCTTAGGTCCTTTTTTGGGTCCCTATTCATGGCTGCCCATTCTTTACCATCTCTTCAGTCATTTGAGCTTTGGGTATTTATTCCTTGAAGGTCCATACTGTAATTATACTAGTCGTAACTATAACTATACTAGAAGCTTGTTCTTCCTTGAAGATCCCTATTCTGGAGTTTATGGTTCTTGGAGAGAGGCTCTGGAAACTAGCTTGCTTTCAGGGGCTGGTGTTGCGTTCTCCAACTAGCGAGGTATCCGAACGTCACACTTGAGCCGCGCAAGGAGCCCTGACCTCTGAGCCCTCTGAGCCTCTCGACCCCTGAACCCCCAAACCGGACATCAACCCTTAACACCTACATTTCACACTACTCCATTACGCCTGCCCCTCTTCCGAACAATCAAGCCCTAAACCCTTGCGGCCCTTGTGGCACCACAACAACCTTGAGTAAGAGCTATTACTGTCCCTCAGCTGGAACAGGCCTGCCTCGAATGGCTCGTCGAGCAGACATTTGCAGAGCCGTCGCTGCTTCTGGGATTCTTAAATGTTGGGTCGTTGGGGCTTTGGTTTATGTTGGGTGGCATTTGCGTTTAGGGTGCCCTTGTAGTTGAACTAGGGCACCAATCCCATCAAGATGCCTTGACAGCAGGGTTTGGGGAGAAGTGCTATTTAGGCGCTTGGGTTATAGGGTTTCAGCTTCCGCATTCCGAGACGACGTTACCCAAAGGGGTAAACCAGCTCCAAAGGCGGTGTTTGGCTCCATGGCTCCAGTCCATACACGCGCAGACACTAGAGCCTAGATCCCTCTTTCGTTTCCCCTACAATCCCCAACTCTAGCGCCGCATCCGCAGAAGTTGAGTCCGCTTGGGCACTGTAAGCCGCAGCTACAGGTGCTGTTCGTGAAGAGCCAGAACTTTTCCAGACCTGCACAGCACTGTGGCCACGCAAGCCCCCAACCCTACACTAAAACCTGAACCGCAGAGGTCATCGAACCCGTCCTGCGGAAACTGTCTACTCTATCTAGGATTTCATGTGTATGGTTCAGTGTGTTGCGTCTAGCCCAACTTGACAAAGCTATAGAGGCGTCCCTAAACAGATTTTCACAACTTGCTGAGCCTTCAACATAACCGTAGGTCGTAGGAAGGGGTACATAGCACCGACAAAGCTTTGCGGATGTGCCTACATCACACTGACGATGAGTCGTACCCACCCCAACGTTTCAATGCTTCGTTTCAGTTTCAATTCTACAGACTCAGAAAGCCGTTGGCAAACATAGATGTAAGCCAGTCTGAATACTGCAATCTAAACTCCCAACCCTAAGCCCTAAACCCCTAAACCCTAAACCCTCAATCCAAACTCTGAAAATGTAGGCGCCTACATAATTAGGACGTCCCGGGTCTATAGCCGCAAAAGATTCAGGATCCATACAGGGAGCCCCCCCAAAACTGCCCAAAGTTTCTTAATCAGGTTCCTGTATTTGCCTGAACCCCTTCGCTGCCTGAGGATAATCAGCTTCCTGCTGAAGTTGCACAGCGAAGCAGAGAAGGACCCGCTTTGGTAATGTTAGTTCCCCGTGCGCCACACAGGGTTTAAAGTGTAGGGTTTTCAGAGTCTCGGGGTTTTGTACCCTAAACCCCAAAACCCCAAACCCTTAAGCATCTTCCGAAGAGTGCATCTCGATTTGTTGACTTAGCAATGTACTTTCACAGGTTCCACAACTATAAAACCCAAAACGCCAGGACGCCCCAGACCCCAAGTATTGAAAGCACTTAATACGTATAGCGGCCTTAACAACTACCTATACAGTGAGCCCCAGGAAGTTGGAACATGGGTTTCGGAGGATTGGTTCTATGATTTCCGATTCTCTACCTTAAGGGAATGAGGATATTGATGTTCCAACTTTCTGGCTTCTACTATACTATTTTGGGGGTCCCTTATTGTAATGATAGTATAGTGGGCCCGAAAATCTTATTCAAAGCTATATTAGACTCTTACTTCACAGCAGGGGTTTCCATTTGCAACATGTTTGCCAGGGTTCAATAGCTAGGTCGAGGGCTTCCCAAACCCCGACACATTCCTCCCAAGCGGGTCCAAGCAGACCTCTTGGTTACGATTTTGGGGCTGAGGTTTCGAGTTTCAGAGCTTCGGGTTTGCGGTGCATTTTGCATACGACGTTGAACCAACATAGATCAGGATTTCTTGGGTAGACTCCACCTATATACAGCCGAATTACATGCTCAACCTTAGGCCCGACAGCCTGCAATTACCCAACAAAGCCCGAACCCTCTCTGGAATTTAGGGTTTAGGGTTTAGGGTTTAGGGATTAGGGTTTAGGGTTTAGGGTTTAGGGAAGCCTAAGCCTAGATCAACCCTCAACCTAAAGCCCCAAACCCTGCACTCGAAAACACCGAACCCCATTTTGCAGCCTAAAGCCTACCCAATAAGCCATCAACTTCAAGCCGTAAAGCCCATTCCGAACAAACCCTATCCCCCAGCTTAGACCTTCAGAGCCATCAAGGACCGCTATCCGTTCCTCCGGAACACCGCCGCTTGGGCAGTGCCAGGATTGGGGGTTTTCCGATTTAGGGTAAGATTTTGGAGTTTTAGGGTCCAGGGCTGTAGGGTTGTTGGATCTCTACAGGGTGTTGGGGTTTTAGGTGCAGAGTTTAGGCTTTGCTCTTGAGACTTCCAGCCTCGAATATGCGAAATAGACTGATCCCCGAACGATAAACGCCAAATCCTACCCTGAACCCTAAACCCTACCCCCTTAAACCCTTAGACCCTGCACCCTAAGCCAGGGGTTTCGGCGTGTAGTGCTTATAGGGTTTATCGACAACCGTCGAAAATGGATGGTTTCTCCAACCTAAACCCCTATTGAGCCTTTGAAGGAGCTTTTAACAGATCCCGTGCAGAGCCTTTGCAGGAACCCTTAAAGGAACCCCAACAGGAACCTTGCACAAACCCGTAAAGGAACCCTTAAAGCAGCCCTGCAAGGAATCCTTCGCTGGCGCTCAAAATCGCCCAAAAGTAGGTATCAGCCACAGAGTTTCGATCCCTGAGTGCCTGAGTACCTGTCGCCGAGAAGACCTACCCTTTTTAGGGTTCCTTATTACGGTTCCTATATCTACCCATAGGCCCCAAAGTAGTTCCTTTTTGGGGGTTCATATATAGAACTCTATAAGGTAACCCCAAAGAAGAACTACTTTGGGGCCTATGAGTAGTTCCAAAAAGGGTAGGTCTTTTTGGGGGGCACAGGTAGGCTTTATTTGTGTACTTGGAGCCCAGGGCCCCCAGGTATGCAGAGGGTTTAGGGTTTAGGGTTTAGGGTTTAGGGTTTAGGGTTTAGGGGTTTAGGGTTTAGGGTTTAGGGTTTCACATCGTACCTACTTTGAGCTGTTTGGGGGTCCCAGGGCATACAGTAGAAGCCAGAAAGTTGGAATATCATTATCGTAACCCCTTTAAGGTTCATTATAGGGGGATCCTACCATTAATCCATATTCCAACTTTCTGGAGTTCCCTTTAAAGCCGAACCGCCTTAAGGCCGAGCCAAAGAAGCCAGGACTTACATAAGGACATCGTATCAAGGAGCCCTAAAACGATAGGTTCTGTAGTTTTCAGGTAGTGCTTAAACCCTAAACCCCTAGACCCTAAACCCTAAACCCCTATACCCCGAACCGCTAAACCTTCAACCCTAAACTTTCAAGGAACCTTAAATGCCGAGGCAAAGAAGCCAAGGAAATCGTATCAAGGAGCCCTTAAAAGGCAGGTTCTTCACCTTAAACTCCTAACCCCCCAAACCCTAAAACCTAAACCCTAAACCCCTACTTACATAAGGAAATCGTATCATCTTTAGTGTGCCTAAACCCTAAACCCTAAACCCTAAAAACCCTAAACCCTAAACCCTAAAAACCCTAAACCCTAAACCCTAAAAACCCTAAACCCTTAACCCTAAACCGAGGCAAAGAAGCGGCATCAGATGCCTTCGGCCCTGGAAGGTTTTATCGCGCCGGGGGCCTCGGTCTTTCAAAGGGACCCTTTGAAAGGGGCGTTACCGGGGGAAATTGGGGGGGGGGGTAGGGGACTATACTCCCGTATTCTGTATTTGTATACATATATATATATATATATATGTATATGATGTATATGTCTCTGTACAGATAGACATATGCATGCATATATATATATATATATAGATAGGTATTCAGGCCCTACCCTCCTCCCCCCCTACCCCCCGAAGGGGCCCTTCTGAGTCTTTCAAAGCCCGGAAGACTCTCAGGGCTTTAACCCAAGGCCCTTCAATGTAGTACCGGCTTTACGGTTTTAGGGTTTTCGGGATTTAGGGGTTTAGGGTTCAGGGATTTAGGGGTTCAGGGATTTAGAGGTTTAGGGTTTTAGGGGTTTAGGGCTTTAGGGTTTACTTCCAGATTATAGGGTTCAAAATATTTGGGGTTTAAGGTTTTCGGTTTAGGGTTTAGGCTCTTAAATCCAGTGCCTTTTTGGGGTACCCTATTGTCTTATTATGGATTCCTGACCATAAATCAAGTCATCCAACGAGAAGCTCATTGTTACATTTAAGGGACCAGTGTAGGGTCTCGAATGGGTTTGGGATTAAGGGCTGTCAGGGCTTTAGAGTCCACCTGGACCCTACGGAACCTACCTTTTTAGGGCTCCCTACTATGATTTCTTTATATAAGTCCTTAAAAAGGTAGGTTACTTGGGGTTAAGGCAGGGTTTAGGGTTTAGGGGTTAAGAGTTTCACGAGGGGTTCCGTGAGAGTTCGAGCAGGTTAGTGTCAACAAGTCTTCAGGGCTTTGGAGTTTAGGACCTACCTTAACCCTGAATAACCTACCTTTTTAGGGTTCCTTACTATGATTTCCTTATATAAGTCCTTAAAAAGGTAGGTCCTTCAGGGTTAAGGTAAACTTTAGGGCTTAGGGTGCAGGGGCGGTGAGGGCTCAGGAGCCCTCATCGGCTGTGTAGTGCGTGTAATTGGAGTTCAATGTTGTGTTTTCCAGATTCGGGTTCAAGGATTGTGGCGCAAAGGGTTGAGTCCTAAGGTTTAAAAGCCCTTTGTGGCACGATTTCCTGCGGGGCAGACAGCATGCGTTGTTTCGCTCCTTGTGTGTTGGCGCAGTCCTTCTCCATAGACCAGCTTTCACCAAGCCCGTTGCTGACTAGAGCAGAATATCCCCAAAACTGACGTCTTCAGCACAAGTTGTTGAGTCAATGCCCACCTGAGGGGTAAACCCCAGGTACTGGCCCAATGTTCGGCTGGAAGATCGCAGCGGTTCCATCTGGGATTTGCCCATTAAGGCGAGGACCTCTCGACACTCGTGGTACGGATGGTTCTGTTTATTTGCATGTTGGGTTGTTGTTCGTATGAGTATGTGATTATGGGCTTGCTTGCATTGCCTGCCTTGCCTTGCCTGCCTTGCCTTCCTTGCCTTGCCTTCCTTGCCTTGCTTGCTGCACTGCCCTGCCCTGCCCTGCCCTGCCCTGCCTTGCCTGCCTTGCCTGCCTTGCCTGCCTTGCTTGCTTTTCTTGCTTTGCTTGCGTTGCTTGCTTGCGTTGCTTGCTTTGCTTTATTGCATGCTTGCTTAGCTTTGTTTTGCTTTCTTTGCTTTGTGTTGCTTTGGTTTGCGGTGCTTTGCTTGCCGGGTATATGTATGTATGTATGTATATATATATATATATGTATGTATAAATATATACATGTGTGTGTGTGTGTTGTACACTTGTTTGGGCTCTTGGCATTCAGGATTCGATGATAGCTGACGGTACAAGTCATACTGAGTCATACTGGTGATTCACGCTGCAGGGCAGAAGGCAGTGGGTCGAGGGTCAACAGGCTTTACCACCGAGAGATGCGAGTCGGTTCCATGAGGATCGGGGCCCTAAACCCTAAACCTTAAACCCTAAACCTTAAACCCTAAACCCTAAACCTTAAACCCTATTAGGATTGGGGTTGCAGGTTTTAGAGTTGAGACCGATGCTCTATGCAGCGGATGCTTTAAGACCTTCTCGAGACTACCATCGGCACAGAATCCCGACCGAGGCACAACCTGCAATCGGAATCAAGTACGGTTTAGAGTTTAGGGGTTTTAGGGGTTTTAGGGTTTAGGGTTTAGGGGTTTTAGGGTTTGGGGTTTGGGGTTTAGGGGTTTTAGGGTTTAGGGTTTAGCGTATAGGGGAGACCTTGACATGCAAGCTGGCTCTTGGCAAAGCAGGCTCCTCACTCCCTCATCCTACAGTCTACACTTTCAAAGCTTCGATATGTCGAAGTTTCGCAACACAAACCAGATGACGCGATAAACCCCTACATACTCGAAGCCCGAAATGAGCACCAGGCGTCCAAAGAAGACAGCATTCTGAAGACTCGCGCGAATCCACTCAAGAGGCATGCTCTCGGTTTGGCTTTGGCTTTCCCTACGGCTCCAAGTATACAAAAAGTACCTTACTTTGGGGTTTTGAAGTCTATAAATAGTCCCTAGTTTGGGCTAGTATACAAGCAATTAGTACCTTACTTTGGGGTTTAAAGTCTATAAATAGTGCCTATTTTGGGCTATTTGCAGCCCCAGGGTTTGTCGATGATCCGAACACTACACGCCGAGAGCCTTCATTTTTGTGGTTTAGGATTCGGAGCTTACTTGGAGGATAGTGGGACTTAGAAACAGTATGTTTGGTGATACTTGCCTTCATTGGGGATATAAGTAGTGCAAGGTTACTCTAATACGGACCGTAGCTACTAAGCCGTCTGATCCTTTAAGCAACCTTACCCCCTTTCTCGTTCCGTTATAGATCCCGTTTAAACAGCCCTTTGGTAGGACCCAGAGTAGGCCTTATTCCCTTATTTAGGGTTTAGGTTCCCTTATAACACCCTTAAACCCAAAAAGGGCACCCTTCATTTTCCTAGGTTACTCTTGCGTCTGCATATTAAGGCCCTAACAAAGGGGCCAATACTTTTTTGGGGGGGGGTCCTTATTATCACTATAGTATAATATACCCCTTCCTACGTTACTCTTAGGCCTAGCCTAAGAAACCCCGAAACTCCCCAAAAGCCCGAAACCCTCTAGATCCCTTTAAAGGGGAACCTTATAGATCCCTCTAAGGACCCCTTTAAGGATCCATCTCTCGGGCTTCGCGGCTCAGGCTCTTCATCGCCCACACAGAGCTCCCTTAAAGGGATCTTTAAAGGGGTCTATAAGGATTCTATAGTCGGGGTTCTATGGTATAGAGACTTAAACAATCACCAGCACTGTTTTAGGGGGGCTCCTGATTAGAATTATAGTATAATGGCCCCCAAAACCCTATGTATTCTAGTTATTAAGGCCCATACTATCAAGTAGGTACGGGGTGATTATTGTCGCCAAGACTGTCAATTACATGGTACTCCAACAGCCTTACAGCCTGAACTTCTCATGCTTAGTAGCTGCGTAGGCAACCTTGTACCTTTGGGGGGTCTATATAACCCCTAAACCCTAAACCCTACCATGATTGAAAAGGTTAACCTTTTTCGGGCTACCCAGAGGCCCCATAGTACTTCCTTTTCGGGATTAATTACCTTATAGGGTTCTATATACGAGCCCTAAAAAGGAGCTACTTTGGGGCCTCTGGGTACTCAGCCCCTAAGTCTAAGAGCGGTGGCAGAGGCGAGAGAGGTTGAAAGAGAAGAAGAAGGAACAGCAGCGCCAAGCAAAGGCCACGAGTGGTTTTGCGGTTTAGGGTTTAGGGAAGGCCACTTGGAGGTTTAAGGGTAAGTTATAAGTAGGGTAACTCTACTTATAACCCATATTAGGGGACTGATAGCCCTACTTATAACTACCCCGGAACCTCCAAGCACGAGTGGTTTTGCGGTTTAGGGTTTCAGGCTTTTTCGGTAAGGCTGTTTGTGGTTTGTGGTGCCGTTGTTCTTAATGTTCTTCAGGTATGCACATCCTTGCAGCCCCTAAACCCTAAACCCTAAACCCTAAACCCTAAACCCTAAACCGTAGCCGACAACATCCATCTGTAGAACTCGACTTTGGCAGGGGCTTAGAGGTTTCGGGATTCGGTGCGCAGACAGAAGGAAGCCTTGCATCTTGAAGTTATAGTGTTGTTCTTCAGCATGCTGATGTATTGCACTTATGCTTGTGTGAGAGTGGAAGCACCATCGGAAGTATAGTTGTTGTAAGTCGCAAGAAGTTGTGCTTGTTGACGTGAGGGAATTGCTCTGTGCGTGTGTGTGTGTGTGTGCGTCTTGTTCGGTTTAACTAGGGCTTGTATCATACTTGAGTATACAGAGCTCCTTAGCAGCTTGCTGAGCTTATATCTTGGAAGTTACTCTCGGAGAACAAGGATCCTCATAGCGTTTTTGCAGGCTCTTCTGTAACCTTGGGATTCGGAAGTGTACATGTGTGTGTGTGTGTGTTACAGTCGTTTTAGGTGCCACCGTTCACTTCGATAAAGCCCGGATTTGTCACCCCAAGACATGCACCCCAGGCCCTAAGTGCGATAAGCAGTAAACCTGTATATATATATATATATATATATATATATGGTAACCCCCCCCCAGGACCAACCTCGGCCATTGTCCTGCTCATTACTGTCTTCACAGCGTCATGAATAAGAGCCGAAACCACTGTAAATACCGATGGTGTTTGTGTTCCCGTACAAAGTGTGCACTCTCGACGCCTCTTGACAGACTGGTAAAAAACAGGGTTCAGTTTTATGGACACCATTTACACTCTCGGCGCGTCTTGTCGGAGTGGTAAAAGACAGAGTCCAGTTTGTGTGCCTCATCCTTTATTCATGATCGTCATCTTGTCAAAGTATTATTCTTAGTTTCAGTCTTAAAAACAGTGTTAACATTGGTCTTGACTTAATTTTTGTTCTAAGTTTTAACCTTAATTATTGTGAGTAGTAACCTTAATATTTTCGCTAGCGTAGCATTATTATTAGTTTTGTGTCATTACTAATTTTAGAAGTTCTAACAATGCTGCTGGTATCTGTCCAATATTACTGTTCGTTTGATTAATGTTCCTGTTAGTGCTGATGCTGGTGTCAGTGTCAACGTCAGTGTTAGTCTTAATATTTATATGAGTATTAGTGCTCCAGTTTGAATTTAATATATGTCTATAGCAGTGTTAGTGTTCGTGTTAGTATCCGTATTAATATTAGACGTGGGCTGGGCCTTAAAAACTTCGTCTTAGTACATTATGTGTATCAGTATTCATATGTGTATATTCAATATATTGGTACATAAACAAAACATATATATTATCAAAAACAGTTTTCAGTATACTCGTATATTGGTATATTAGTAACAATGGTCTATTGGTATATCAATTTCTCAGTATATTAGTATATTAACTTTTTAGTATATTAGTAGAATACTATAACCATACATATTGGTAAATGAAAACATTGAGTTTTTAACAATCTGATGCATTCATTTTCTTGTGCCTTATTTTGATGTATTCTTTAGTATACATTACAAAAGCGATATTGACATTAATTTGATGCTTGTAAAGTCATATTGGTATTGATATTAATATGAGTATGTAATACTCTTTCTATATTTGTATGAGCACAAATAATTTTACTAGTATTGTGCATGTTCGTACTAGCCGAAGTATTAGTGTTCATATTAATATCAATGTTGTTCTAAGGAGACGATTAATGTCGGTATTCGTATTGAGAATAATTTTGTTAAGAACATGAGCATAAATACCCGTAGGAATATTCATACCTATGCTTGTATTGGTATTAATACTCGTATTAGCATGAGTACTAGCATTAGTACGTATCTAGGCATGACGATTCTTATATGAATATAAAAGGGGAACATGATTATTAGTATTCGTAAGAACATTAGTTTTCCTATACATTAATGCTAACTAATATTACTATGCATATTAGTATTAGCAAGAACATTAAAGTTCGTGTTCACATCAATTCTGAAATTGGAATTGGTGCAGTTTTTTCAATACTAGGAGTAGATACTAGTAGTAGAATTAAAAGTAGTATGAACAAAACATGCGTTGGTATTCGTCGGAATATGAAACTTGAGGTTACTCTTCGTATGAGTTACTAGTACTACTGAAAAACATACCAATGCTGATAAAAATACGAATGCTAACATTCATGTATGAGCATTTTATTATGCACGTTCGCACTAGCCTTAATGGTAATATTAGCATGACTATGAGTACTCCGAAAATGAGTAGTTTCACGAATATGCATAGTCAATATTCATACTAGCGATAATACTAGCTATAGTATGTATATTAGTATTCGCATCAAGACTATTCTTACAATGTACATGATTTCTAGTATTCTTGGGAACATCAGTATTCATACTAGCATTACTATCAATTTCACCAGTAGTATTACTATAAGTATTCGTACTCGTACGAGTATTATAGTTTTCAAAGTTTTCAAAATAATATCAATATTACTACAAGTATCAGTTGCACAGACTCGTCAACCGGCGACGTCGCGAGGTCGAGTTCCCTAAATTCTCTAATCACTGCTTCCATGCCTCGAATTTACAGAAAGCGTGAGTTCCTGCAGACTCCCTAAATCCCTAAAGTCTTTACATACCCTAATTTCCAGCCCCATGTGTTGGTTTCAGCGCATTCCCTAACTTTCCTGACTCCCAGCCAGGACCATGTGTTGGATTTAGGGAATTCCCTAATTCCCTAAATTCCCTAAATTCCTTACATTCCCTAAATTCCCTAAACCTAACCCTTATAGGGAATTCCCTAATTCCCTAAATTCCCTAAATTCCCTAAATTCCCTAAACCTGACCCTTATAGGGAATTCCCTAATTCCCTAATTCCCTAAATTCCCTAAATTCCCTAAATTCCCTAAACCTAACCCTTATAGGGAATTCCCTATTTCCCTAAATTCCCTAAATTCCCTACCCATGAACGGAAATCATTGAATCTTATCCATGGGGGTCAGACTTAGGGAATTTAGGGAATTTAGGGAATTTAGGGAATTTAAGGAATTTAGGGAATTTAGGGAATTTAGGGAACTTAGGGAACTTAGGGAATTAGGGAATTCCCCAAATCCAACACATGGGGTAGGGAATTAGGGAATTTAGGGAATTTAGGGGAAATAGGGAAATACCTAAATCCAATGGGTAGGGAATTAGGGAATTTAGGGAATTCAGGGTTGGTCTTGGGGGGGGGGGCTAGCATATATATATATATATATACACACACACACACACATATATATATATATATATATATATATATACAGATATAGATATTGATCTCAAAAAGAATATATATATATATATATATATATATATGTATATGTATATATACATATAATATATATATATATATAGGCTCCCCCCACCCCTCCTACCGAAAAATCTACCGCGAGTGCCGCGAGACCGCCACCAATCCTGCTAGGTTTAGGCTTCCGGTGTTATGATCCAGGCTCAACCTCAGGTTGTTGAAGTTCCGAGGGGAGAGCATGTGGATATTGGCAGGCGCCTTTAGTCTCAACGACCCTTCACGCAGATACTCCCAGAGTTGATTTTCCAACCTTGCCATTCAGCTCTGTCTGAATACCCAAAGCTCAATATGGGCCCGAGTATTAACTGTCTCGGATCAAAGCTCCAGCAATACGCATGAATGACCGTGAGTTTTGACTGACTCTTAACCCTAAGCAACAGTATCCCTAAGATTAGCCTTCCCAATAGACCTTACGTTGGCCCCAATCGTGACCGCAATATTCTGTCTCATGTTCACCCAAAGACATTGCTTTTAGCTCAACGTCTTCTATGACACTGCTATGGCGATTGGTATCCCCACTATACAGCTCCCTCTTCACTCCCATATCGACTTGAGCGTCTTTATAATCACAGAACACTAACCTGATTGGGCCCCCCGATAGTAGGGATATTGCAGTCCTCGTGGCAACCCTAGTATTGGATCTGACTCCAAGATAGACCTTACTCGCCAACATAATAGCACCCATAAGCTATTCCCGTTGGTAACCTTCGTAATGTACCGAATACTTCCCTCAGCAGCAACCCAAATAATGGCCGTAGAAGAAACCCCGACCATTGGCCCCACCAACAGGGTAATTGATCCCGATGTAGCTGTGGTATGCTGTGGTATCCCTACTTGGAGGTTCCGGGGTAGTTGCACGTATGGTTATAAGTCCCCTAAGGGTTATAAGTATAGTTACCCTACTTATAACTACCCATGAACCTCCAAGTAGCATGAGCATTCAAGACCCCAAAGTTGAAAGTCGTGGCATCCCCAATACGACGTAGTTTCTGCTAATATTACAGTATTACGGGGAGACGAAGTATTGCGCAAACATTTACTTTAACGGCAGGCGTCATATTCATGCTGATATTAACCATACCAGACGAATTCAGTCAAAACGACGATACTTAGCTGTCTTTGCTCTGGCGTTGCCCCAATGATGGCCCTCAGATCCAGGGATGATAAAAGCATGTTTGGTTTACCTCAACATGTTGTATATGGATTGCACTTTCTTCTCGTTGTAGTATACGATCATATCGGACTTGCTGTCGGCCTGCACGTAGGTATGAGTGTATGTACATTCAAATGTGTATATACACTTACGAACCTTAATGTTAAAAGCCGTACCAACATGATGACGATAGTCGTTACATGGACCCTACCCCTATCCTGGTCACTCGTCGTCAGGTCAGTGGTGTATGCACCCTGACAGCAGCCCTAAGACCATCCATAGTAGACGTAGTACCGCTCATAAGCTGACCCGATGTTTCTCTTGTCTAACTTACAACCTTAGTCAGCTAGCAGAAATCGTAGTGGTAGTTGTGATAACCCTCATCCTGTGTCCTGGTCTGTGTTAAACTTGCAATACTGGCTCTCTATTGACCACGAAACTGATCCGAATACTAGCCTGGCTATTATCCAATATATTGTATAGTATCAACGCTATTCGGGTTCGAATCCCAGTAGTAGCGACATTAACACTGATACTGGTACGTGGAGCACGCAAGCAGCCAATGAGATACATACTGCTTGCTAGAACAACTTGGTCTTGGAGTGAAATACCAGTTTTTTATCAGGAAAAGGTTGGTGTTGGACCGATTGGAAACGACTTTCTCCTAGGATAAAGATGGTGGTGGCCTGAAGACACAATTTCTAAACAGCAAAAGCAACCGAAAAGCAGACACATCTTTTGGGAAACTTTACAGCCAGACCCCAAAGAGATGTTGCTGGTGTTCTTCTAGGAAAACATTGGCTTCAGGCCGTAAACCCAATTGTCCTAGGAACAGATGGTGTTTACTTTACATATATGTATATACAGACAATGTATGTATATATATATATATGCATTGTCTTTATACTATGTATATACATACATGCATACATACATACACATATTTCTGTACCGGCTGCTCTTGGCGCCTGAGCCAGGCACTTGACCTTCAACGTCGCAAAGCCTTCGACGAGGGACCCGCAGACCTGTTTAGTTTAGAGTTTAGGGTTTAGAGTTTAGGGTTTAGGGAGTTTAGGGTTTAGGGTGTTTCTTTCTGTCTACCAGGTTGGAGTTATTGAGGTTGCCTGTGAGTGGTTTTTGGAAAGGGTTTAGGATTTGGCGGTGTTTTGGGTGGGGTTGAAGCTCTTCTTTGAATGAGCGTCAGCCAGGCTACATGCTCTTTATTTTCAACAATAAGGTGGAATTCTGTTGAGGTTTAGAACATAAGGAGTTGGGTTTCACCGTTTCAGCGCGGGGTTTGGCTCTTTCCTGCTGGGCGTAGGGTGTAAAAGGTTAGTGTTCGGGTATAAGTATAGCAGGGGGTTTTGAGCCCAAGCAGTAGTTAAACAAAGCCTGGAGCCCTATATCATTCAATCCCCAAAACCCAAACCTAATCCGTAGGAGGGTGTGCATTCTACCTGTAGTCTCCATTGTAGTTACTCTTTTGGTTAACCAGCTGTATGGTTAGGATCCTATAATAGAGGTTTTGGTTAACCAAATAGAGGAACTACAATGGAGACTATAGGTAGAACACTAAACCCTAAACCCCTAAAGCCCTAAACCCCGAAACCCTAAACCCCTAAACCCCTAAGGTTTACTTCAGTACATGACTGTAGGTGGTGTTTTCGACCGGTCGCAGATCTCTGCAGTTTCGCGCCCACAGGCTTCATTTTCAGGGTTCCGGCTTACGTGCAGATGAGGTTGTTTCAGTTTATATAGGTACGGCTGTCGGTTCAGGATGCAGGGCTTCTGTGATGCAAATGCAAGAAGCCTAAATCATTAGAACAGGGTTTGGGGCCCGTGATACTATCATTATATATAGTAACGAACCGCCCCAATAGTATAGGTAATTAATATGGCCCCTTTCTTACTTGATTTTGGGGGTCGGGTCGCGGACTGGAGCTTTGAGCCTTGCGCAGCTTGGGTTGAACACCAGAAAATGTGTTGTTTTTGTGATCTCTGCACTGGGCTAAACTGAACAGTTCTCGCAAGCGGTGTTTATGTTCTTTTGTTTATCGCTTGAATTAAATGGAGGGTTACAAGTTACAAAGAGCCTCCAAGACCAGCCGAACAACATTTATTGCAGACGACACACCAACCGCAACTATACCTTCAAAGCTTTTGCCCTAACCCGATTGAATGTGTTGCAATCTGACAAGCTTGACGATCGGGCTACCAAGCATTCATACACAAAAAGGCCTTCCCTGTCTCTGAACTCAAAGACCCCCAAGAACTGAATGCCCCAGAGCCGGAGAAGCTGAGTTCGATTACAAAACTCCCGAGACCTGAAGGGCATCACGTCTCAAGTTATGCTTTTGTAGGATCTGCACGGGTCGCATGGCAACCATACACACGACACATGGCAAAGCTTCAGAATTTCCGGAATCAAACTTAGGTCTTGACATAAACTTCCTGTAGCCTGAAGCCCAACGTCTTCAAATCAGCCAGATACTGTTTAACCGCGGACACAACACCTGGACCGGTGTTTCAAAAGCCGTGGAGCGCCGCGCATGTGGAACTGCGGCATCCTGCGTCAACAAGCTAAAGATTCGGTTCGCTGATGTCCCCAAGCGCGTCTTTTCCCGCGGGCCTTTCTGGAGTCAACCGCTTAGCATCGATGCATTGTGAAATATCTCGAGCTCAGTGTGATGCCTGAGCATGCTGCAAGCGCCAGTTTTTGGAGCTTGTTGCACGGCGCCAAGCTTAACAAGGGCTCAAGACACTCAAACGGTTCACGTCCTTGTTTTGATGGACGCAACATGACGCAACTAGATGTTGAACTGTAAAATCTTGGCAGCCTCACCACTAGTTACATCGACCTTGCCTGTATTGCACGGACACATTGGACCGAAACTCGCTGCCAATGAACGACCCGCGCCATGATGCCGTCTGTCCATGGTCAGTCCCGGTGAAGTGTACACAAAGCCCAATAAGAGCCAGCCAGCATTTAGCCGTGCCTTTTTTGATGAAGTCAGCGCTAATTTATTGTCGAGTTTAGGTGGCAAGACCTTCAGTTTCCTTGACGGTTGTTCAAGCCCACGCAACCGAGTTGCCATCAACCCCATCGAAATCTTTCCAAGGAATTCAGCAGCACCTGGCTGCTGCCAGTGTGAGAGAAGAGATTCCGCTGGAAGATGAGTTTGTGTTTTAAAGAAGCGTGCATCTCGCAGCCTTGTTTGTAACTTCTAACAAACATTAATCGGTGTGCGAAAAGAGGGTTCCCCGCGTGGTTGTTTGCAGCATCATCATCAAATGGTTCGAGCTTGTATATGCCGTCGCCCCAGTAGGATCCCGATTGAATCAATGTCGAATACAAATATTCGGGCGCATAATTTGGCCCGCCCAGTACGCAACGCCAATTATGCTGTTTCCGGAGCGCAATAGTCGTGGTTTCGTTGCCGAACCTAGCAGTCCCATCCAAGTCCATCTTTGGGGAACTTAATGACGGTACAGCGCCCGAAGTCATGAACCCAAATCCCTAGAAAGGCAAGTTACCCGTCTGTTCGGTAAGCACCGCAATCTCTATGGCCTTGCACACAAGGATCAAAGCTTGTACGAGGGCCGACGAATAACATTGTTGTGAAAACCAAAACCCTTCCAACGTCTCCCTCAGTTTCAAAGCCCCGCTGCTCGGGAAACTGAAGCAAGCAAGAAGTGCTTTGCGTGTAAGCCACATGAGAAAGCCATCTGCACCAGCGTTGCTTTGATTCGGACACCCGGGGCGAAAGACCTGCAGGAGCTTGCCGTGGCCGTTTCGTGCGGGTCCGCTTCATTGTAACACTGTATTACGGTCTATATGTATATACACCTGCATGTACATACATGTACATATAGATACATATTGCTTTCTTTTGTGTGATGGTAGCTGTTTGTATCACGGCGAGTTCAGAGCAATTGACCATTCTCTGTTGCATGTTGCACCTACCATGACCATTCCTCTTTTGCAGCTATACCAGCACTATTAATGATTTCGTATGTGGTGCACATATTGTTTCATATGTGTGCACTGAGCACTACTCGAGTTGTTGGTGTTCCAGTCGTAGCTGCAAAGCAGGCTGCACTTGTTGTAGCTGTGGTAATAAAAGTCTGCCTCCTGTTCCTCCTCCTCGTCTGTCGGGGAGTGCTGCTGCTGCTGTTGGAAGTCATCGTCGTCGTCGTTTGTGCCGTAGTAGCAGTCGTCGTCGTGGTAGTACCAGCGGCTGTGGTGGTAGTAGCAGTACTAGTAGTGGTAGCGGTACTAGTAGCAGAAGCAGTAGCAGTAGTAGTAGCAGTAGTAGTAGTAGTAGTAGTAGTATTACTCGTAGTAGTAGTAGTAGTAGTAGTAGTAGTAGTAGTAGTAGTAGTAGTAGTAGTAGTAGTAGTAAGAGTCTTCGGAGCAGTAGTCATGGTCGCAGTCGTCGTGGTGGTGGTCGTCGTCGTAACTGTAGTAACTAGTAGTATTAGTGAAATGTGCAGTGCCACTGGCGCTGGCAGCAGTAGTCTGATAGCAGCGGGCTCAACCTATAATCCTTCCGACGAGCTTCGCTTGTTCTCATGCTGTTGCACCTGGTGCAGTGCAAACTGCTCACCGAACCAAGTGCAAACACTGTACAACGGCTGTTTCATGCTGCAAGGGCGCACGCTGTTGATGAAAGTGGAAGCAGAGATCAGGATTCGTCAGCATCATACAGACTGCACCCCTTCCCCCCTGCAGCCCCTGCACACGTTCGATCATCATCCTTCCAATGTTGACTGCGACACTCCTAAGACCCTAAGACCATCGGCCTCTAGACATGCCGGCTATGGCGCCGAGACTTTCAGCCGGGGAGGCAACCGTGCAGAGCAGAATCACGCAGTTCCCCCTACGAGCTCTAGCCCTTAGCATGGGGCTGAACCCAGAGACTCCAAGATCCCTTAATTAAGGAATATTCCTTAAATTATAGTAGGATCCCTAATATGATTTAAGGAAGATTCCTTAATTAAGGGATATTGGAGTCTCTGGGAATGGGGCTCGTCCCTGGGTTTTGCCGCAAAGGTGGCTTTACGGGGTTTAGGGTTTCGATAGGATTTGGTTTACTGCAGGGTTTGCGTCGGACGCTTTGTTAAGCCTTCCTTCTAGGGTTCCCTGTTAACGATGACTTCCTTCTGTACGTCCTTAAACAGGAAGGTTTTTGGGTCCAGCGGTTCAGCCTCCTAAAACCCGAAAGTTCTGCTCGGTGAGGTGGGAAAGGCTGCGGCACAGCGCGCGAAGCAGGAGATGTCGGGGGCGATATACTATAGAGCCTTCTAGTCTTTATGATTACCTAAACTGTTTTGAGGGAATCATAGTATCACGTGCCCCAAGACCCTATTCTTTGTCAAGGTCCCTATATTAGAGCCCTCAACCCCGAACCCCAAGCCGAAGCCGCAGGGTTGCCCTTGAGCGGGCTGCTATAAGGGATGCTGTGAGGGATTAGCATGGAAGCTTAACATTAATTATTGACATCACGGGGTAATGGCCTGGAGTTAAAGGTTCAGGGTTTTGGGGCCTCACACTTTGTGGGTGCAGGGTTTTGGGGCCTAGATTTGTGGTTCGATGGTTTTGGGGCGTAGGCTTGCGGGTTAAAGGGTTCAAGGGTTTGGGATTTGGCGTTTTAGGGTCCAAGGTTGTGGGTTGAGGGGTTCAGGGTTTGAGGTTCACAGGTTGGTTTGGATTGGATGTTCTTTTTTTAGAACTGTAGAAGGCTTGCCAGGACCTGGCAGCCCTGCTTGACCACCTATACATACAGACCGTCCAGTATTGCAGTCCCAAGTTCGAAAACATCCGCGGTTTCATCCTTGAGCCCAGAACCCCCGACTGCCACAGCGTTCGTGCTCCAGCTCTGTAATCCCTCACTAGCACATTCGCAAGTAGATCATTTCTCATACAGTCACTTTCACTAGAGGTAGTTTGGGCGGTCTCGGCAATTGCAGTGGTTTACCATAGGGGCTTTAATAATTAAAATAGGGCTTTGGGCCCATATTATACTATAACAAGAATAAGGAACAACGCCTAGAGTTTAGGATCACGGTGTGTGATTCGTTTTAGCACCTTAGTCTCGACAGTGCGGTTTTGAACTCCAGACCTCCCCCGGCCCAAATTCGCAGTTGGGATATATACGCATATATATATATATATATATATATATGTATATATATATATACACATATATATATATATATGTATATATATACACGTACACACATATATATAGATATAGATATAGATATAGATATAGATATAGATATAGATATAGATATAGATATAGATATAGATAGTAGAATGTAGGGTTTCTAGTAGGAATTTCTGAGATGATTTAGATGATATTATGAGATTTAAGATTAGATCTGTTTGTGGCTCTGGGGTTAAGGGGCACTTTTATAACCTCTGACCCAGGCGTAGGGTATAGGGTTATCTTTAAGTATAACCTCCCAAACATTCCTGAATACCTATATATATATATACATATGCATGTAGCAGAGTGTAGAGTTTCTGAGATGAATTGGGACAGTATCTCCCATAATAGTACCTACGACCCATAGGACCCCTAAACCGTAAACCCTTGACAACCTCTGAACCGTGTGCAGGCGAGCCACGAAATCTGCGACACGCCCACCGCTGGTCAGCCGCCGGCTCAGGGTAAACCCCAAGCCCAAAGGCTCCATGTGCCCATATAGTAGGTACCTAGGCCTTAAAGTAGCCATATAGGGACCCCTTTAAGGCCTAAGTACCTGCTATATGGGCACATGGAGCTTTAGGGAAGCATAGGATTTGGAGCTCTTTAGGTCAGGGTTTTTTGGGGCTTAGTGTTTGGGGGGTCAGGGTTTTGGGGTTCAGGGTTCAGGGGTTTAGGTGTTCAGGGTTTATAGGCTTAGGGTTTAAGGGTTTAGGGTTTATGCGGGTTTTGTTGGTACCCTTGGTCTGGTCGTATTCGGCGAAGAAATGGCTTGTGCTTGCATGTGTAACTGCCGAGTAGGCATGCTTCTCGTTTTTGGGTAGGTATGCTTAGAACTTGTGCGCTAGATACACAGATATATGTAGGTACATACATACATAGGTACATACATACATATGCCCTATACATCCTGAAACGTGGATCCTTTGTAAACCCGATCCAAAACCACTTTATGCCACGGACAGGGTTTGGTTTCGGCCCAAGCCTCAGCCAAGCTTTGTCTTGCCTGCATTGGGTTTAGGGTCTTGTTTCAGGGTTTCAGGTGTTTCAGGTGGTGAGCTTTAGGGGCTTCAGGGTTCCTTAAGCCCTACTGTCAGCCCCTAAACCCCCCAATCCCTAAACCCTTAACCCTTTATAAACCCTTCTAGCGCTTTAAAGGAACCCCTAGATCCCCTTTAAAGGAGCCCTAAACCTTAAACCCTTTATAAACCCTTCTAGCGCTTTAAAGGGACCCCTAGATCCCCTTTAAAGGAGCCCTAAACCCTAAACCTTTACAGCGTTTTAAAGGAACCCCTAGATCCCCTTTAAAGGAACCCTAAGCCCTAAACCGAGGTCCGGGATCGTCGCTTCTCGCGCCGGCAACTTCCGATCCTGGGGTCTACTCAAGTCGACGAGTCAAAAGGCCATATATGGGTGATAAGTATAGTATAGTTACCATACTTATAACCCTATAAGCCTTAGGGTCTATAGAAGTTTAGGCTTTGAGGCTCAAGTCGACGAGTCAAAAGGCAGGGCTTTTGGAAGCTTAAGGCTTAGGGTTTAGGGTTTAGGGGTTTAGAGTTTAGGGTTTAGGGCTTTAGGGTTTAGGGGTTTAGGGTGTAGGGCTTTTGGAAGCTTAGAGGGCTTACCTATAGTCTCCATTAGTTCCCCTTTGCTTTGAGGCTTTGTAGGTGTTTAGGGCTTACCTGTAGCCGAAAAGACCTACCTTTTAGGGAACTATATATAGAGACCACAATATGGAACCCTAAAAAGGTAGATCTTTTCGGCTACAGGTAGGGTTTATAGGAGTTTAGGGTTTAGGCTTTGAGGCTTTGTAGGGGTTTAGGGCTTACGGTTTCTCTTGAAGCCTAGAGTGTAGAATTATAGGGTTTTAGGGTTTATAGGCTTTACGGTTTAGTCAAGGGTTTACAGGGGTTTAGGGGTTGATGACGGTTTAGGGTTTCGTGTATTGTAAAGCCGCCTCTTAAGTGTTGAAAAT